ACACTGATTGTGCACCTCCTGAGCATTAAACCCACATATTTTTAAAAATCTTGGTTCCTTCTAGTAGTTTAGTTTCTGTATTATTGACATGAATAGTTAAATTATTACAGGCCAACACTTGTTAATTCTCTAAGCAGTCTAGGCCAAAATATATACAATATAGGGACATCTGTTTTGGGACACCTGGCCATTACACCTACAGGGAATTTTAATGCATCCCATTCTAAATCCATAGGCATCAATACAGATTTGGTCCCTCATCTGCACCTATAACAGCTGCCACTCTTCTTTTTCCCACAACATTTTGGAGTTTGTGGGAATTTTTACCCATTCATCCAGAAGAGCATTTGTGAGGTCACGCACTGATGCTAGACGTGAAGGCCTGGCTCGCAATCTCTGTTCTAGTTCGTCCCAAAAGTGTTTCATGGGGTTGAGGTCAGGTTTCTGTGCGGGCCAGTCAAGTTTGTCCACACCAAACTCACTCATCAATGTCTTTATGGTAGCGCTGTAAACGTTAATGCTTGGGATTATTCCAGAAACCTTAACGCATTATTTTGTTTTTAACACAAATTAGCTCTCCATACTAAGGGGCCCATAATGGTGTTGACTAAAGTGAGTTTCCCTTGTGCCCATAGGATAAAACAGAAATCTTGCCAAACCATCAAAAAAAATGTTGCTATTTTTTGTCATAGACACATAAAAAACATCTCCAGAAACCTTGAACAGTCTACTTTTCAAATATATTTAGGTAGACACTTAATGTATTTTTAGAGCTCTGTAAGGAGAATAAAAAGAACAAGAGTTACTGATTTCAGTGTCTAAGACATGAAGCAGCGCTGATCGCCCACAAATTTTCAAATAGCTCTATTCGTATGATAACAACACAATAATCCAGCAGTCCATATTGGTGACAGTCCCACGCTTGAATTCACTGAGCTCTTCAGAACGACCCATTCTTTCACAAATGTTTGTGAACCTGACTGCACGGCTAGGTGCTTGATTTAATACACCTGTGGCAACAGGTCTGAAGGAAAATCCTGAATTCAGTGATTCACAGTTGTGCCCCAGTACTTTTGTCCATATGGTGTACATTGTGAAATCACACTTGCATGCATCACTTTGAGCCATCCCCAATAGAGTAAAAAGACATCAACATATCAGCATTTTTATAAGTTATAAGCTTTTTAAAAGTATAGCCCTTACTTGTCATGTAACTGTCTATGTGTTTTGCGTGTTTGAGTATGAGAATGATGGTGTGGCTCAAGTTTATCTTTATGTTCCACTTCTGTATTTTGGGTAAATATCGACGGTTTTAAAGATTAAATGACTGTTACTCTTGTCTGCAGATGCCTGCCACTTTACAATGGATCTTGACACAATACACCAGTGGCTGTTTCTGTCAGAGGGGAACAGCAAAGTGACACGTGATGAAGACGGTCAGATTTACCCCGAGCACCCGGACAGATTTGACTACTGGCCTCAAGTGCTGTGCAGAGAGGGTCTAACTGGTCGCTGCTACTGGGAGATCGAGTGGCACGAGGGGCCGGGTGCTAACGTGGGAGTGGCTTATCGGGGGCTCGGCAGGAAAGGGGCGGGCTTCGAGTGCGGGCTGGGACGCAACGAGAAGTCGTGGAGCGTGCGGTGCTTCGACGACACCTACATCGCCAGGCATGGCAACGTGGACACTGCTATCCCGGCCCCGGCCTGCCCCTCCTGCAGAGTGGGCGTGTTCCTGGATTGGCCAGCCGGGACCCTGTGCTTCTACAGCATTTCCCCTGGCAAACCGACTCTCCTGCACAGGTTCACCTCCAGGTTCACTGAGCCCCTCTATCCTGGCTTTGGCGTCTTCCATGGCTCCACAGTCTACTATTGCCAACTTGACTAGAGCTCTGCTTCTGAGGCCAGAGCCTTGCATTCACATTCAAACACACACAGAATTCACACAGAATTTCATTGGAATTTCTGTTACTTTAGTGTTACCAGGTTGTTATAGTATTATGTTAATAGTAAATATTTTAGCTTATACATATTTGTATGTGCGTATTTTTGACATTAATTGGATTGGTGCGTCCTTACAAATTACCAAGATTATGAACAAAATAGACATAAGGCAGCCCACTCAAAATTAAATGCCTGTTGCTATTTGTGATTTAAAACCACTAGATAAGATGGGGCTTTTATTACAGTGGTAACATTATTCTTTTATGTTTGTTGCGTGGAGTTGTATAACCAGGATGATCCTTAGTCAGATTTTTACAGCACTGGGGCAGAATTAATGAAAATTAGCACTTCTAAAAGAAACGCTTCAGTTAATCCAGCATCGATCGTGTATTGCTCCACCCGCCGGCATGTTTAGTGATGGAATGATATCACTTCTGAGCCAGTTATGGGAAAGCTGCGTTACAGCAAAACGATCATTTGCACAGAAGTGAAGAAAGTGTCACATCATTGTGAAAGTCACTACGTAAAGCGTCGGCCACCACACTTGTGACATTATCATATGTGGTGGTGAGGAGACCTCGGGGAACCGTTTCAATCACTTAGGGGGCTATGAGAAGTTCATAGAAAATACTGCTCCAGACAGCTTATGTCACGATCGCGGGGAAGGCGAATGGAGCCGTACTTACGGGTAAATGGGGTTTTATTGGTCAAGGGACAGACAGGTAGGGACATCCACGGACACTACAATGACGGATCTGACAAGACGTACTCAGACGCGGACTAAATACACAAGACAAGCTAAGGGTAACAAGCAACAGGTGAGAACAATCAGGCATAAACACGAGGTAACGAGGTGGGCGTGGCACACACAAGGATCGTACGGAGCTGGGCGTGACAGCTTATCTAATGACAGAAAATGGAACATTTAGGTAGGTGCTGTGTAAGTATTTTAGCGCAAAGTCAAATAAGTTTTTAATTTACATCTTAAGTTTCACATGTGATTCATTAATCTGTCAGTCACTAATGTCAGAAGTTTTAAAGTATGGAATGGATACCATTGATATAAACGGTTCAAATGTGGCCCTGGATTTGATCTTATCAAGGCAGAAAATAGAAAATTAATCCATACTAAGGGGCCCATAATGGTGTTGACTAAAGTGAGTTTCCCTTGTGCTTAACCAAGTCTTAATCCTGTATATCTCAGGGTTATATGTAGCTTAAAGGAAACTTGTGTCATATACCGTGTTGTTTTGGAACTGTGAAGTTTTTATATGGGTTTGTGTGATGTTTTACCTATATTTATATATTTATACAACAGTAGAACTGTATAAAGCGCATATTTATGCAATTTAAGTGAATAGACAGTGTTTATTTTGTACTGAATATTATTGAAGTGTCTTTAGAAGTCTTGTTTTTGTGAAAATGCTCATCTAACAGGTCACCCTCAATAGGGTTCAGTAGTGATGCTCGATCTGAATGTTGTTGCTGATCAAGTGCAACTTTTTTCATGGCTACATTTTTACTCATCTATGCATGGAAACCTCCAGCAGGACTGTGAACTAGGCACGTACCTTCAGAGTATATAGTTACATGCACATAACAGAGTGCATTTGCTTGAGCCGTCAACCCAACAGGACAATTAGACTGCAGCAGCCAGTCGCATTAGTAGGAACTGATAAGTTTCCAATTTAAAAATAAAAGTATGCTGTGAATATTACCTGCAATTTAAAAGTGTTACAAATTCGGAGAACGTACTGGTGGCAGATTGTTGCCACCAGAGGGCAGGCAAGATTCACATAGAATGTAATAGGAAGCATGTAACAGATTTTGATAAGATGAGCTGGAATGCAGAACAGTCCTTTCAGCATATTAGGAAACAAATATTGAAACTTGCTATTTCATCCATCCTTCCATCATTTGTCTTTGAACCACTTTTTTGAAGACGTCGATCAAGTTTGCAGAAATTTTCAATGATATTCTGTAAAATTCTGCTCAATCAGAGTAATGCAGAATTCATTTTCTCAATAAAAATCTGCTTCTTTGTTACCACAGACTGCATGTTTGTCTAACTGCAGACTGCATTTCTCCATGAGTGTTATTCTTCAAAAGTAGCATTTATCTGTGTCATTCTGTAATGCTGTAATTTAAGGTAAGAGGCGAGTAAAAAATAATTTATTCCTTGTATTAATAACTAACAAATACCAAACCAACCACTAACTTCAGGTTTGTCTCCAAAAATCAAACAAAAAGTTTTTAAAAATCTTCTGTCATGGAAAGTTGAGAATGCTTTCCTGTTGGTGAATTTTAAAACCTATATTAAATTGTATTTTCAAAAAATAAAAACAGTGGAATAAGGTTACGGAAGTAATTTCTTTAAAATAAATAGTTAGGGTGTTAAATATCAATGTTACAATATAATAATGTTAAATACCATGAAGGTAATTATCCAAACATTAAACAAAAAGTAAACACAACTGATCCACACCACAACTAAATAACCAGATGCTTTAACTAAAATGACATTTAAAGAAAAAGAATAGAAATAAACAAAAAAGTATAAAATAAGCTTGGTTAGGAATGTATTTTATTTACAGCCCATGGTTTAAAGCACATTGCATCACTAAATTTGGCTTTTTACATTAAAAATGATACAGCTCCAGCATTGGAATTCAGCACGTTTCCTCTCGCTGAACATAACATCTCGCCGCATTCACAGCAAAGATAGCGATTTCACACACGCTGAGAGTACAACACTCGGAAATCCCAAAAACCGCCCCCGATTAGCAATGGCAAGGCCTAGGTTAGGAGAGACGGTCCAGCGTCTGTCTGAGGGCGTCTTGTCACGTGGCATCCGAGCGTAACACCCCTACCGGTCTTCCTGTGGCTGGTGTTTATGGACGGACAGCAGGGGGAAGGTTGTGCTTTGTTTTCTGTCTGAGCCTTGTGGAGTGTGTTAATGCAAGGTGCACAATGTGGGAGGGGGAGGGGGTGTTTCTGAAATAAATATGGGATGTGCATTTGGGCTGGTCTGTCAGGGAACCTCTAGGAAGCGTGTAGCCTGGTCGCAGAGTTCCTCCTTCCACCTGCCGCTACAAGCGGCTCCTTCTTAGCCTGGACCCTCAGCGCCTCCACCTCCGCACCCTGCTCCTCGCCATTACTCCGCCGTCGGGCCTCTGTCGCACCCCGCACGCGTCGGACCTTACGTAGCGGCCGTTCCAGTTCCTCGTCCAGTGACTCCTCGGCAGAGAACGGCTGGCAGATGGTCTCCACCACGCCTAGCGCCACCCCCAGCGCAGCCACTGCAGTGCCCACCAGGTACACCTTCACCATGCGTCCACCGGCCCCCTGGGCCAGCAACTCCCTGGTGAACGGGATCAGGTCTTGCATAGTCTCCATCCTGCCGTGACAACACACAATTTATCATACAGATGTGAGGATCCTCAATGAAATTTGTGACCCCTTTGTACAACATTAATTTACCACTCATTTCATAATCTGCATGATGTGTCAGGAAACTGCATCATTACAGGCAATGAAGTGAACACTCACGTAGCTCTAAAAGACACAAAATAAAGTACTTACACAGTCACAGTCCTTTTTGATTCTGGAGTACCAGAAGACTCCAGGGCCGACCCTTGTCCCCGGTGGTGGTCTCAGGCAAACGTGCCGAGTGAAGTTTGAAAAGCGGCGTCTGTGGTTTTTAACGGTCTATTTGGAAACGCCCCCGTCAAACGCCATCTGCCAAACATGACAGACGCGACACCTGTGGTATTTGGGCTGAGTTCATAACATTTGCACGCAGATCGGAGAGCCAGACTCTGAAGACTCAAGAGACGCGCGCAGACCACGATGCCAAAAACCCCCACGCAGGCGAAATTATCAGTAAAAATCTGCCTTTTTTATCCTGTTCCATCGGCACTTTTATTGCGCAATGCAAACTGGCTTGGGATTCACTATACGTTGGGGAATTGGGCAAGCATCTGAATGGTTTTTAAACTCACAGTTTAAACTCACAGTTTAAACTCACAGTTTGACTAATTATCCATCCATTCACCCATCTATTCATACACAAGTATCTCCACTGAAAGATTGTTGTGTAAAATAATTCAATTACTGGTTAAACCTATGTTGAGTAAAGCTTGTGCATTAGTTTGGTCTGCAGTACAAAGTACATTCATGTTACATGAATAAGAATAAAATTAAGCCTATGTCAATATTTATTTAAATGATTTAAATGTTTAAATATGCATTTTGTGATGGTATCATTCATTAAAACTGTCATATTCCAGTCAGAAAGAACTTTCCCAATGTTCTGCTTTTGGTTTGTTTTTGAAAGCCACTCAGTCAAACCTAAAATGAATGTGCTTTTGCTTGTCAGTCCATCAAAGAAAATTTGTACCAGTGTATGATTACAACACCAAGTGCAAATCACTCCATGTCCATGGTACTTTCTCATAGTACAACTGACATCTGTTCTTTTTATTCTGTTAATTAGCCGTAAAACAATAAGTCTTTGACAAACACCAAGGACAGAAATGACACAATCTGGGTTATTTGTTTATACAGCCAATAGCTCTTCAGATGTTCGCATCTTCAAATCTGTACATGTCATCAGCAATTAAAAGGCAAAATAATGCGATTAGAGTACAAATAATTGCATAACTATAAAATAAACAAAAATAAAACTGATCTATCCGCACATAATGTATTGTTTTGTATGTGATGTTTAAGCAGAAGTCTACTCTGGGGTAAAACTTAAGAGTTTTGCTACTAGCTAAATAGGCCTACTTTCATTTCATTTAAATTCCTTGAATCAGATGAGCGGGAAAGCTTAATCTGCAGTCCTGATTACACTAATAATAAAATATGAGCAGTATAAGGCACACCAAGACCGAGCAGTCTGTGGTCATGTGAGTCAAGGGTTGGTCATGTGACTGAGAGGACCAGGCCGTCTGCTGTATTCACAGAAAGTGCTAGTAAACGGTCATATAAATATTTTTTGCTTTATAAAAATTTTGCAAACTAAGACTGTGTTATTCTTCTAACTGTTTTAATCAAAACATTTATGGCTTGTAGGATATTCTCCGTAATGCACTTACAATGGCTTGTTTAGAAAGGGTTATTAACAGCTGAGAAACCCTACAAACACGTAACACACTTCATACCATAAGTCTATATCCCCATTTCAAAGAAGTCTTGTGTGATCATACTAATTAGTACTGATCCACTTCATTTGAGAAACGAACATTCTTTCTTCGAAAGAGTTAGCCCATGTGAGGTACTGCTTTGAAAGTTACAGAACCCATCTATACACACACGTGGTCTAGTGCTGGGGTCGACTGAACGTTGTGGTGGGTGTAATATCCAATCGTGCAACTAGGGTTATACTTAAGAAATAGGTAGATGGGAATAAGTTACCTAAGATGGGTTACAAGGCCAAACCCCCCCACCCCCTCAGGTGTCAGCTGAGTAGTCAATGAGTAGCACTCAAAATTTCAATTAGTACATTTTGAAGAACCGAACAGACCCCATCTCTGACTTTCAGGGAGAACAGGGTCTACTCTATGCTTCCACAATACCAGATCATAACTGGATGTATCTGAATGCTATGCTCTTCAGTACTAATGATTGCCCCCAATTTAGTTTAGGGAGCAGCACATCAGGAGCTGCGGTAAACACGTTATTGCCAGTCAGTAATCTCCATGGCAAAGGAAGGCTGGGTGCAGACGTTTAGTCAATACAGCCACACCTTTTCCTCACTGTAGTTAGTCAGCGTAGCTGCGGAATGACCCAGGTGAACATGTGCAGCCTCAGGGCACAGTTTTTAAATACCGTGAACAATCAGCTGTCTGTGAGTCAGTGGTGAAACAAGCCCCAAAAGCTTTATCTTTCTCTTTCACCATTTATACAGCGTGTCCATATGTCAGTATGGCTGCCAGTCTGCTTGTCTTGCAGTCTGTCTCGTATGTTCATGTCTGTTTTAACCATCAATGAACAGTCATATTTATACAGAAGTTTTCTGTTCCTGCTCCATCCCTGACTCTGCCTGCAGCCCATCTCTATGGAGACGAGGGCATACCAGAGCATCATGGGGCTGCTAAAGTAACCCCCCCCCCCCCAGCAGTCGGAGAGATATGGAGAAGGGTAACGGAGGAGTAAGCTCTCAGGCACGCGTCTCCATCCCTCCACCTGGCACCTGGTCACCACGCCGACCACCCGCCACATCACAGACAGCGGGGTGCAGACAACCTGAAGTCCAGACAGCCCTGAAGCTGAGACTTCCAAATAACATCCACACACTCGTGCCTGTCAGTGTCCGAGCTGATGACAGGTTTAGGATTGTATTCCCGTTCTTTTTGCATTTACACAAAATCAGACATCAATGGCTACACAAGATTACTTAGGTTTCGAAAAAGCTGAGACTGAAAGGGCAAAAAAAACATAAAAAAAAACAAACATTTGATTCAACTCATAAAGAACCCCTGAAAATAAGGGAAACAAATGTTTAAAATTTTCTGCTTATAACTGGGACAAATCTCCCGGTTTTGTTCTTTTGCCATCCAGCCTGGTAAGATGCCGACAGAGAAGTTTTATATACCCCTGGGGCATATGTGAGACTTTTCATTAGCTATACTAATGCTGTTCCTCCGTTTGGGTTTGGCCGGGTATGATCTGGATGGCGGTGGATCGCGGCTGGCTGATTCATGGCCTGGGGGAGTGGGGGTGGCCGACAGGTGAGGTGTGGCCGTCTCCCGCGGTGCTGACGCACGCTGTATCACTGCCGGCCAGGTGAGCTCGCCTTTATAAACAGAGGGGCGTCTGCCCAGGGATTCTCAACCAAACAAAACCGCAGACACACAGATCTACGAGCTGCCGGTGAGCTACCAGGACTGTGAATTTGGTTTCTTTTAGGTCCCACTGTTTCTGATAGTCGCTGTTCTTGTCTCTCCTATCTTCCTTAGTGCTTTATAATCTCCTATGGCTGTGAGTTTGCAAATCTGTAGCTGTGGCGTACCGGCATGTAATTACAGAGCTGTGATCATAGACTGACTTCAGAAAATTCCTTTCCTAAGTTTTGTGGCTTTCCGTTGCAGGAGTTTTAAGTGGACCACATGAAGATTTGGATTCTACTCCCCATGGCAGGTGTGTACGCTTACTGTGGATATATTCATACAATTATGTATGCATACTTAACTATACTATACTATACTATACTATACTATACTATACTATACTATACTATACTATACTGTGTACTTAGTTTCTTACTGTGCTATGGATATATGGTGGAGAGAGCCTGGGGTATTTTAATATGCAGTGATGTTCTCTAAGCTTGTTGACCCCTGTTAAGAAGAGTGATCTTTAAACAATAAAGATGATTTAAATGGGGGTGGGGGGTCTTGCTTATGTGGGTGTTGAAAATGTATTGGGGGTGTCCAGATAATGCGGATTGTGTAAAGGGGGGGGGGAGTGTATACTGCAATTATCTATGTGAGTAAGGTGGAGGGTCTCTGTAATTCTTTACTAAATTCTCACTTGTATGCTCTGCAGCTCTGGCTGCTCTCTGCGGCGCTCAGCGAGACTGCCAGCGTGGAGCCTGCTACCCCCCATCCGGGGACCTGCTCCTGGGCCGGGACACGTACCTCCGCGCCTCCTCCACCTGCGGCCTCGCCGCACCCGAGACCTTCTGTACCCTATTAGGACTGGTATGACCTTTTGTGTAACATAAAAACAATTAGCAAATTCTGTAAATCAAACGTAGATTAACTCTTAGGTGGTTTCAGCTTCAGAATATCATGTTCTGCTGCCACAGGGATCGGGCTGAACACATCTTACCTTTCAAAAAATGACCCTAGTTGTGTAAACTGCAACTTTAAATCTTCGTCTTAAAAGCCAGGCTTTCGTGTCCAACATCAGTACTTGACCTCACAAATGCTCTTCTGGATGATTGGGTAAAAATTCCCACAGACTAACTCCAAAATTCTTGTAGAAATCCTTCCCAGAAGAGAGGCAGTTGTAGCTGCAAAGGGGGAACCAGCTCCATACTGATGCCGATGGATTTATAATGGGGTGTCATAATAGTTCCTGTGGGTGTAATGGGCAGGGGGCCTAATACTTTTGCCCATATAGAGTATCTTATCACAGTTTCTTTTTCAACACTGATACATATTTTTTAATACTGAGGAAAGTCATTGCCAAGACTAAGGCTGGCAGGCATTGCTGTAGATTCAGGGCAGCTATGAGACGTACATTCTGATGGGAGGCAGCAGTACTCAAATACGCAGCTTCAGGATCGTCACCATGGTCCTTCCACAGAAGTTCCGGTCATAGAACTTTAGCCATCAACAATGACAATAGTTCAAATGACATGAAGCACTTTTTAAAAAAAAGATGTACGCTGTATGTATGAGTGTGTGGTTTCGGGTCTGTTTGGAGGTAGGTCGGGAGTTCTGTCTGTGAAGGAAAGATAGGCAAAGACAGTCGATATCTGGCACAATGCCTCATTTTTCACCCTCTGCCACCTCACCAGGAGGGGCTGCCCACCCCTCCCTCTGTCTGTTCCCAGGGGCCAGATGTTGCAATCTTACCCTCTACTTCTGGCTCACTTGGCAGTTAGGAACTGGAGAAAGAGATCATCCGTTTCACAATGTTGTTTAAAAAGGCATTTTCCATCAATTGTCGCTGAACCCAAACTTTCAGAATTAGACTGAAGAATGTGTTACTCAG